CTAATGTTCCTGTCCCATACCCTGTATCATATCTTGGAAATAATGTCCATTAGCACGGTTAACGCCGCTGCTCTCTGTGCTGACGATAAGCCCGAGTTCAAAGCACGCCTAAAACTGATACCCTGCCTTTTACTTCAGCCCTTGTGAATGTGATAGCATAGTAATAACTGGACAATGAAGACTCTGAATCCCATTGAACTGGCGGAATTTCTTGCCATGAAAACCTGTTTTTAGGTATTGTTTCATGGCGTACGAAATGCCATGGGTCAGTGTCTCGTGCGATGAATGTTGCTGGAGCCGCCTTTGCACTCTTGATGTTAGCTGCGACAATTTTCGGCGTCTTCTGCTGGTTCCATCGGTGAGTACGCTTTTATATTAGAATTATGGAATGCAGATATCTCGTATATTCGCTTCCAGTTGGGTTATACCCCTGGCGTTAAGGAGAGACATCTGAGAATGCCAAAAAAATCCCCCATTAGACTTCCCTCCCCCGCCCCTTAGACTTACATTAGGGATGAAACTACTAGAAATAGTACGCTCACGCACAAACAAAGAAGAGCGGCAGCTGGATGTTGCAGGCATCCCTGATGTGTCGCCAGGGAGTAAGCGGTATTCGAGCGTCGGATATACGGCGAGACAATTATAATGTGCCGCGCTGGGCGTGGCGAGCGACCCCCTGCGCGAAAGAGACGAGTTATCCTGTCTTGCCGTTTGAATTTGATGTTAAAGTTACAGGAAAAACCGGTTTTAAGCGCCATAGGGTCTTACTTGTGACTATATGAACGGCAAGCTGCCGATTGCGCTATTGTGTACAGGGGGGGGCCAAAAAAAAAAAGTCATTTTGCCTCCATGACTTTCAAGGCGCTATAAGTTACACTTTATTAAATTTTTATCGGACATTTTTACTACCATATTAAAGAGCACATTAAATACTATAATGATACTCCGCCACAGCCTTCTGGAGGAGCGCCATCGAGAGATTCGGCCGCGCGAAAGTGAGTGGGTACCGGAGTTGAGCGAGATCGTTGATTTCTCCGCCACTGTAGACCACCCTGTTGAGCTCCGCCCGAACGAGTAATTGAGGGGGTTTAGTTCAGGACCCCCGCTTAAATACTAGATCTTTTCCAGGTACTCAACGTTCTTCCATTCCGAGTAGGCGGGAGTTTTTCCAAAACCCTTTGATTCCATGTGGTGGCACCCAAACCTGTAGCAGCACAAGGTCTCCAAAGAAGGTACGGGCGACCACATGTAGGGAGGATATTCTTCTCGAGTTACTTGATGTAACCGCCAGCGCTCACCTTCAGTCGGGGTCTACAAAGAAAATATCGGTCTTCCCATTCCAGGTACGGCCGGTCCACACCATCAACCCGCGCCTTGGTGAATGGGGTGAAGATGATGTCCTGGACCGTAGCGACGTTGCCGTAGCCGCTCGATGTGGGGGGTCTTGCAGATCAAGAGTACTGACCTCCAGGTAGCTATCTGTGGATGATTTCATTCAAGAAGTTTCGCAGCTGTTTGGAGGCGACGTGAATTCCAAAGGTGTTCTCCAGTCAGGCCGCGACTGGAGATGACTTCATATTTTGGCGTACATGAAGGCGATGGCGGCAGCCTGCTCCAGCTTATAGGAGATCTTGGGTATCTTCCGCCCTGGTACTCATATCCACTTCCTCTGTCTGGGCTGCGAAAACTTCGCTCATATGTGACTCGGCCAGAATGACTTTTTTTTTTGGCCCCCCTGTAGAGAACAACGACAACGTGACAAGGCGACAAGGAAGTTGTGCTTGGGCTCTTAGTTAGGTGTGTGTCTTATCGTGTGAGAAATGTTGTTGCTTGCATGCATGGAGTACGAAACAATATCTGGTCATCAGTACCCTCACGTCTCATTTCAACGCATTTTGAGTGACGAAAATGGCAAAGTTCTACAGCTGACCTGATCACCCCGCTCATAATTAGGGTTACGATCCTCGAGGATGAGCGCACAGCGTATCTCTGAGGGAATTATCAGTGTTATCCTGATGCATTCAGAAACGAGTGAGAACGAGCTTCGTAAAAAACAACTGCCTTCCAGCGACAGTTAATCGCTGAACGGTCTCGCAGCATAGCTCACTCTGCACTGCCGGTCCAGTTCCATTCGTACTTTCAACGGTGTTTTGAATCGATTTGGCCTGACCTGCAAGGCCAGGCCGCTGCCATGACTCTCTAAGAGAAGTCTGGTACAAATCAACTGACTCCTAGAATGAAGGGTAACAAGGTTAGCATCGATATGAGATTTGAGTGCCAACGCGATGTAGGAGCTGCCAAGCTGAATCAGCGCAATCAGCCAGGTCGCAACCAGAGTCCACGCTGCGATGATTCCATCACTCGTTTGTTTGATTCCTAAATGCGATCAACTAACCGATCACCATTACCAGAGCAGAAGCGCGCTTCATCCCACCCTCCTCGCGCCGGCCCCGACTGTCTGCGATGTCTACAAACTGTACTGTTATTATAGTAATCTTTCGACCGGTAGACAAATAACTGGAGAATGATAAAATGAAATGGAAAAGAACCAAAATTCAGCGTTGATCACCACTCCCTAAAAAGACGCCTTCCGCTCCCACTTAGATTCGTGATGTCGCTTGATTGACCTGGTCGGAAACCGTTCTTCCATTCGACCCTCGAATTCGACGGGTGGCGATGGCGCCGTTTGCCATTGCTCCATCTCCCTTCAGTAGGTGATTGAGACTTAAGAATAACATCTATGATGAAATGGATTTCAGGAACAACACACCACATTCACTCACGAGGCACTGTCATTGGTTGCCGAAAACTGAGGAGTACTGCCTGAGAGTGATCCACTTTTCACACCCATATATCGATTGGTTGCCTATCGAGACTGAACGTGAAATTGCAGTCATTCAGGTGAGAGCCTTTTCGTCCATAAATATGCTGCTCAAGAGCACATTACCGCTGGGGTTGCCCCAGCGAGGGAGAGACAAGGGTCGTACTCTAGTATCAGGTGAGGAAAGGGAGTCGTGATTTACCTTTCCCAGTTTTAAGTCTCTACATTTTTGATTTTTCTCGTTCCAGACACACTTTTTCTTCCTTATTTGGGGTGGGGGGAGAGGAGAGGGGCGGGGGCTCGACGGGTGGTAGAGGTCCCATTTCAAAATTTTCTTCAGGTGATGCGCTCTGATGCTGGTTAATAACACCATGTACACTTTGTAAATTGGTACGTTTCAGATCATCGTCTACATATTTCTATTCGCATTCTCATTCCTTCAGTTCGCCTTTTCAATGAAGTCCGCATTCACGACTAAATTGATACAGCTGTATTATTAGACAATAAAATTTAGAATATTCTGCTTTCGAACAACAGAAGAACAATTTACCAATAGTTAGCTCCACAGTTACGAGGGGTGTCCAATATATTCTCGGTGTAGGTATGAAGGAAAAGGCAGAAAATTCTGAATAAAATTTATATATTTTCAATGTATAATAGTCCCCATAACCTCAAAACACTTGTTTGCTCGGGGCTCGGGAAACTAAGTTTTCAATACCCTCTCAAAAATATTTTACTGTTTGTCCCCAAAATGTGTTAATTGGGGCCTTCAGCGCTTCATCATCAGTAAAACGCTTTACACGAAGATATTTTCAGATAGGGGAACAAAAGCAATCACTAATCATTTTCTCAATTTTCTTTTCATTTTTCTCAGTTTTTTCGAAATTAGTAATCCTTTCGCAACATTGTCCCATCAGTCATTCTGGTCTTCACGAAGGATAGCCAGGATAGCATTGATGATGCCTAAATGAAATTTTATACTTATACCATCAGAGAGTGCCGTAACCTATTAAAATGATCTAAATCCTTCGTCACTACAAAATTACTCCGATACCTGAGAAGATTTTGAAGTCCCTCGTATTAGGAATATGAACGGCGAGTGCATAGAAGAGCGCCACATGGCTTGCACAGTCAGAAGTTAGGCCAGTCACACATTCCGGACCGCGTGAACATGATGTGTCATACGTGTCATACGTTTTCTGCTCTATGTGACCGCTGTCACACATGGTGTGTCACGCTTTGAAAAACATTGCAGGTGTGGCCCACCAAACGTTATTAGCGCGACTGATTGGTGGACACGACCTCTCCCTCCTTCACAGTTCTTTTTTCGGGAAAACGGGAAAAATCTTCGGAAGTTGGGAAACTAAGGATTGGGCGAACAATAAAGGAGGATCCGTAACCTCCATGGTGAGGGGGTGTAGCTGACACTGTCAATTCCACATCACGAGCTGCTATTGAATACTACGTTCAGTTACCCAACAATGGCCGGCTTGCCTTCTTGAAGAGTATGCAACGCGATTTTCTATTAGTCTCTGCTTCTTCTTCTCCGGTGTTTGAAACTACCTGACAATGAGCTGGCCGCATAAACAATGGATTTTCCTAAAAAGATTTGATGAAAAGTGACATATTGTTCCCAATGGTTTTACACGTTGAAGATTATTTTCGTCTATGAGACAGTGGGCTGTTTTACTACGGTTTATTGTTTTTTGTCAATTTTTATTTCATTCAAGTGGGGTGTCGGGTCCGACCCAAAAGTGTGTTCTCAACAATAACTCTTTACACTTTATCTCGGCTCTCACATTACAGAAGAAGCTCAAAACTTGTGGTATACACTGCGAAGCATAATTATAGTTCCACCCATAAATTTCACACAACCCTGTCTCCCACGTCTTCAAAAAAAAATGCTTCAAATAATGAAAACGGTAACAAATTACCACTGGCATATCGGCCAGGCAACAGTACGAAGACTCAGCTTGAAAAACAACTTTTGTTCATTCGATTTTTTGCGAGAATGGCGTTCCTAACAATGGCGCAAATGACAGCTGCCACAAACATAATTCGAATTAATCTAAATAAATTGACATCAAAACCCGTAATTTCAATTTAGTAAACATTGGGACTCCACTTCTCATAAGTGGAAAATACGTTGGCTCATGCTCGATTAGAAACTTTCATAGGCTTTTGGCCGATATGTTGCCATGTATCAATGACTAACTCCCTAAGCTTGTGGAATTGTGCATTGTTCGCATAGATCTTACGCACCATGAAGCCCCTCATACCCTCGATTGGGTTTAAGTTGAGGCTACTAGCCGGCCAGAGCAAAAGAGGTGTGGGTGTGTGTACGGACGAAATCACGTAACCCCGAACAGGGCACAGCATTCGATGGGGATTTTGGTGAAGCCCGTACGACCCCCCCCCTTTTTGGGGGTTCGGTACGACCCCCCCCTATACCTAAAACTATGGAGTTCTTCAACCCCCTGCGCCTCCCCGAGAGAAGAAACTTCATAAGTTTATGTATAAGTAAGCGCGAAAAATGGAAAA